TATACGTATATGTACGGTTACATATGCCCCCCCGTTTCTGTATTACAGGTGCAGGGACGCAGTCGAAACGCACCGGCGCAGCTAATTGCGGATACTATTGTAACCGTTCTTTAGTTATTATCAATTGAACCCCGGGAGGTAACGTGCCCCTTTAACTATTCCCAGGATTGTCTAGAGTGGTTCGTGCCTCCAGGCACTGGATAGCGGCGAGATCTGGTTGGTGTTAGAAAAAAAATTGGAGACGATTTAGAGGTTAACAAACGTTGCGTATATTTTGTTGGAGCAGTGTTACAACAATACCTTTCCCCCTCCAATCAAGGATTGTTTAACCCGAAAAAGAGCACCGATGCTGCGCGTGGATACGATATTAGTGACGCGTGGCCCGCTTCTTTACTCTCAATGCACTTTGTTCACACCAACTCTCTTTTTGGGACACATCCTTGTCGTCAGTTGCGAAATTTCTATATTGAATCGACGATTGAAGATTTGTCGCAGCACTCACGTATATGGCTGAAGTTCGGAGAAAATGCGTGAGTGGAGACGTGCATAAAGCCGCAGTCAAACTGCAACACCCAAGAGCCCACCCGTCGGCACGATACGTGGATTTCGAGTGATCTCCGGTGTCGGGAGAGAGACGTTGACCATGCAAGAATCTGATCGTTTATCGCGACTCGATTACGACGCGGCAACCACCATTCGCTCCGACCGGTTAAACCGGGGGGGAAACGAATGCTAGCCCGCGCGTAGATTAACGATTGGGGATTTGTCGCAGCACTCACGCATATGGCCGAGGTTTCGGAGAAAATGCGTGAGTGGAGACGTGCATAAAGCCGCAGTCAAACTGCAACACCCAATAGCCCACTCGTCGGCACGATACGTGGATTTCGAGTGGTCTCCGGTGCCGTGAGAGAGACGTTGACCATGCAAGAATCCGATCGTTTATCGCGATTCGATTCCGACGCGTCTGGTTTAGCTAGCTTCGAAGGTGCGAATTGAGCACTACGCGAACATGACCGAATTCCTTAATAACCAAAGTATATATTGTGACTGTACCGAACTCACGACAACAAGGACACGTGAATCAACAATATCACACAATCCTCGTTTACACACGGTTGTACAGAGCCGAAAAACAGACAGGGCAGTACATTATTAATACCTTTCGATTAAAATGTGCTATGCTACTTCACGGCTGTGTACAATACAACGTTCCAATTTGACTGCTGCGTGGTTCACGACTGATACACAAGCGATTAATTTAAATACTATTTCCGATCGGGCTGTGCCAAGGCGCGGTTTGAGCACTTGACTCCTCGGTTTGAGGCGCGTATGTAACGGGGGTAAGAACGGCGGTTTGACGATTCTACCAGGTTGGTTTAACCTCTCGATTAGATACCGTGTTTCGCCGTACGGATCTTCCTTAGGATCGCGTGTGTATCAGTTCGCTTCCCAGCGCAGAGTGCTGATCGACGGGCTCGTATCGACCTCCTTCGATCAGCACCCGGTGGGGATCGATGCGCACGCAATCTCAATAGATAGTGGGGCATTCCCACTCCGATTCTATTACGTAGATCGCGAGCTCCGTCGATTCCCGTCATGCGATATATCGCTACTGTGCACTAACACCTAGCTATCTCTGTGTGTGTGTCTCTCCGGAGCTCGTTTATGTATTCGGAACGGTTACACTATCAGAGAAATTTTTCGAACACGTTAGATTGTTCCATGCGCTTCTACTTTTCTCGCGCTCGCTCACACGCGGTTTCCAGTTAGGCTCCTTTTCTTTAACTCTATTTAACGTTACTATTATCACTATCACCTTAAATCTATGTACGCGCGCTAGGGAAAAGCAACTGTCTCGACCATTTCTCTTTCGGCCGATATTTTAATTGTCCGCGGGCTCGCTTCATTCTCACCCAGTCTCACTCTCTCCTATACTCAATCGATTGAAACTCTTTGTTTCATGCAGGAAAAGAAAATTTACAAAACAATAATAATACCGAACTTGCACCTTGGCGGACACTCGCATTCTTCACACACACACGCATTCTTAGCGTTCTTTCGCCCCTTGCTTTTCCTCGCGATCTAACCTAATGGTTCGCTTCACTTGCACCTTGCACATGTGTTATTCACGGACACGTTTGTCTTGACACCGCGCACTCGATCACCTCTTTGGAAAACCCCTTCTTCCCCACGTCGTCCTCGGGGGCCTCACTCTATTCTAACAGGCCCAGCGGGTCGTGTGGATCCAGGTCTGGGATCTCCACCTCGGGATCCGTGATGAGGTCCCACGAGACGTCCTCCTCCGGGATCACCTCCCACGATACGTCCATTGGGTCGTCGACGGATGTTCCTGAACTGGACGGAATGACCTCGGCTGGGTTGGGAAGGGTTTCTCCAATCCCCCATGCCTTTGGCGTTTGGGTTTGAGCCCCTCTTTTCGGTGCCGATGCTTGGCAGCCGATTCCTTTTTTGTAATACCCTTTTTTGACGTCCTTCCACGGCCGGGCATTGATGTACTTCGGAACCGTGTCTGGTGGTGGATAGCCGACAATGTCGACTCCGGTTTGGGTGTGTTTGGAGTGCATAGCCCACCGGGCTGCTCTTACTCATTACGATGTTGTCGTTTCGCAGTTAGCATTCGACTATTCCTCGTCCTCGGTGCTTCGGAATTTTGTTGACATGTCTCTTTCTATTATTCCGATCTCCCTCATCCTTCAGGCACGGTGGGAAGCCTTCTCCTAATCGCCTGGTGGGTTGGTGAGCATCTTTTGTCCCTTGTTTATCCCTACGTTGTTTCCTCCCTTGCGGTGATGTACGGGCGTAAACTCGACGCGTGGAATGTTCCCCTGCTTTGCACGGTGATCGGGTCTCCAATACGGTACGATGTTGGCCCCTTCTTTTCCCGCATAGCACCGAGCCCGGCCACCGTGAGGGTTTAGTGGGTATTCCCCTTGGGCTTTGCCCTATTGGGGGCGAGTCCCACTTTACCCCCGCCCACTCCTCCCACATCGGAGGATGGCGGGGGTGTGCGTAAATGCATTCCCTCACGTAAAAAAAAAAAAAAAGTAATGCCACATCTGCCAGTTCTTTCTTGCATTCCTCGAATTTTCTTATCGCTTCATCTGTCCATTGGATTTTTCTCCTATCTTTCTTCTTGGAGCCACGTAGATACTCGTGCAAGACTGCTTGGTTACTTGCGGCGCTTTTCAAAAACGGTCGATACAAATTTATCATACCGAGGAAAGTTCTCAATTCGTGGACTGTGTCTGGCAACCTGTAATTCAATATTACCTCCACCCGTTCGGGTATAGGGGCTGATCCCTCGAACGTAATTAAATATCCCAAAAATTTCAGCTGTTTAACTCCCATGATTGACTTTGACATGTTTATTCGTAGTCCATACCTATTCAACCTTTCAAAAATTACTTTTAAATGGTTTCGGTGTTCTTCCTCTGATGTGGATGCGATCAAAATATCATCCAGATATGGAAAAGTGAAATCCAATCCCTGTAATACCTGGTGTATGAACCTCTGGAACGTAGATGGTGCGTTTTTCAGCCCAAAACTCATTACGTTGAATTCAAACAACCAAAAGGCGTAATTATTGCAGTTTTTGTTTTGTCCTCTTCCGCTATGGGTATCTGCAAATATGCCTTAAAAAGATCGATTTTCGAAAATATTGTTTTACCTTTCAAAATGTGATTAACATCGTTGATCCTGGGAATGGGGTATCTGTCTGGGATGGTTATGGCGTTCAACTTCCTATAATCACCGCAAGGGCGAATGGTCCCATCTTTTTTCGTTACTATATGCAGCGGGCTTGCCCACTGAGAGTTCGATCGCCTGATGATGTCGTGGTCCAACATGTACTGGAATTCTTGTTTCGCCAGTTCCAGCTTCTTCGGATCTAGCTGTCTTGCTTTCGAATACACGGGCCGTCCTTCTGTGATTATCTGGTGTTTGACGTCATGCTTGACGCCAGCTATTAACAGAGTTGGTTTTGTAATTTGTGGATACTGGGCTAATATGTCGTAATATTTTGACGTTTTGTCCATTGAGCTAATTGTAGAGCTGTTAGTGATGGATGTAACTTCTCCCTTAATTGCGAGGTTTGTTACACCATCAATTAATTTCCTATTATTGATGTCAATTATCAACTTGAATTTATTCAGGAAATCTGCTCCTATTATGCCTCTTGTTGTTCCACCTATTATGAATGGCCATTGCATCGTTCTGCGGAGTCCCATGTCCACCGTCAACATCTTAATCCCATAGGTAGGAATTTCTGTGCCATTTGCAGCGGACAGTTTAAAATCGCCTTTCACTCTGTCATTTTTCGTAGCTTTTTTTTTTTTTTTTTTTTGGAGAGGAGGGGAAAATGCTTTTACGCATACCCGAGTTGTTGTACGGGTTATGTGGGACTCCCCTACTACTAATGTAGGAATACCCACTAAAAACCCCTCCTCTGTCTACTACCTTGCGGAACTTGGCTCACCCTCTTGCGTTGGAACTTTGGCCCATTGGGCAATACTTCACGCTGAGGGTGTCCTTGCTTCTTTGTCCGTTGTCCTTTCCTCCTGTCGTCCATCCTCTTGTCTCTTCTGTCTTCTTTCTGCTTTCTTCCGTCCTCCTTCTTCTTCTTTCTTCTTCTTCTCCTTCTCCTCCTTTCTTTACTCTCCTCCTTTCTTTACTCCTCCTCTCTTTTATTCCTATTCTCTATTTCTCTTCTTCTTCTTCTTCTCTTCTTCCATCCTCTTCTTCTCTTGTCTTCTTCTTCTATCTTCTTCTGTCCTTTTCTGTCTGGGATATACCCATTTATGTCTTTTATCCCGTAGGAAGGTCATGTCCCAATAGCAGTCAATTGATACCATTGGTTAATAAATAAATAAATAAATAGATAAATAAATAATATCTGTATTTATAGTCATCTGTTATAAAAGGTAATACTAAGGTAAGTTTTAATGGACTGAGTTAGTATGATACAGGTATTAAGGTAAGTATCATACCATCATGAGACCTTTCTTTCTTCTTTCCCTTTCTTTCTTTTGTTTGTGTCTTTCTTGATTTTCCTTCTTTTCCATTATCTTCTTGATGTAGGCTTTGGTAGCCTTCCTGTTACCCTCGTCTTTTAACCTATCTATGAGGTTTTCTGGAGTCAGCTCTACTCCGATTTCTTTATGCATTTCTTCCCTTTCCGTTGTCCATTCCCTGCATCGGAAAAGGGTGTGATTTGCATCGTCTATTGGTTCTTCGCAGAACCAGCATCTCGGGCTATCTATTTTTTGCATCCTGTTTAGGTAGTCCGCAAAACATCCGTGACCACCTAAACATTGCGTAAGATGGTAATCCAATATTTGTGGACCCCACTCTACCCAGTCTTCTATTCTCGGAATGAGCCGTCGCGTCCATTCTCTGTGTGCCGACGTGCTCCATTCCTTTTGCCAGAGTTCCATTGTTTTCTTCTTTTCTTCCTTCTTAATCTGGTCTTTGCTTGTGCTACTTCTATTGTCTTTCTTTATATTTTCTATTCTTGCGTAGCTTCTATATCTTTCAGCCGCCAGCAGATTCCATGGCGGCTGTCCTGCCAGTACACACAGTGTGGCATGTGCAGTGGTGCGATATGCCCTTACAATCCTGATTAGAATGGTTTTCTGTGCTTTATGGACCTTTCTCTTATTCCATTCTATTTCTAATGCGCCATGCCACACCGGAGCTCCGTACATTATGACTGACTCAACCACTCTGTAGTAGAGGCATCTGGTGTGATATTGTGCTTCTCCTGTATTAGTCAATAATCTGACCAGTGCCCCTGCCGTGTTGATGGCTTTATTGCATACCTTGTCTATGTGTGCCTTGTACATCTGGTTGTCCTCTATTGTTACCCCCAGGTACTTTACTTCTTTTTTGTTTTGTATACGAACTTCCCCTATTTGGAAATCTAGTTGTTTGCTTATCTTTCTACCGGTCAGTAATATAATTTCCGTTTTTTCTTTCGCTAGGGTCATTGTTTCATTTTCGAACCATTTTTCTATGGTTTTCGTCGCACTATTTACTGTCTTCACTATTTCTTCCGTGTCTCTTCCATGTATTATTAGTGCGACGTCGTCCGCATACCCTAATATCTTTGATCCCTGGGGTAGTTTAATCTTTAACAGGGAGTCATATACCAGGTTCCACAGGATAGGACCCAATATAGATCCCTGTGGAACCCCGGCGTAAACGTTTTTCCTGAAGCATGCGTCCTCAATTTGGTAAACAATCTCCCTATTCTTCAGATAGTTTTTGAGAACATTTGTGAGCTTCGGGCTAAATTTCCTATTGTTGATGGCCTTCTCTATACTTGTTGTGCGTATAGTGTTAAAGGCATTTTTCACATCCAATGTCACTAGGATGCAATGTAGGTTTTTAGCCTTAGCTTCATTCCAGGCTTGTACTGCACTGATAAGCGCATGAGTGGTCGATTTCCCCTTGCGGAAGCCGAACTGGTTGTCCTCGAAGGATGCCTCTTCTAAGATCCTGTCCTTCATTGTTCGTTCCATAACCTTTGCTAGGTTGGAAATCATGCTCAGGGGCCTCCAATCTGCTGGTGTCCCCTTCGCTTCTCCCTTCTTCGGTATTAGTACCAGTTTCCCCGTCTTCCATCTATCCGGGAAATATCCATTGTCATAACACGCATTGTACATGTCTAGTAGTGTACTTGGCCTTTGTTCCGCTAATATTTTAGCTATTTTGCTGGGTAGCCCATCTATTCCCGGAGCCTTTTTTTCACTCAGGCTCCTGGCTATTGTTTTAATCTCTTCCGCTGTCACTTTTTGGTCCTTATTTACTCTTGCATCTCTTACTCTGATGCCTAGTATTTCATCGATTCCCCTTCTTTCTAATTTTGTGTTTTGACTATTGTCTCCTGTAGCCTGCGGCGTTGTGACAAATAGTCCATCTATTATCATTTCCATGTCTTCTTTGTTCAGCTTGTTCGGAGAGGCCCTAGGTTTTAAAGTCGCGAAGACTGCTTTGTAGGGTCTCCCCCACGGGTCATCTTCGACCATATTCTGCAGCCTCTTCCACGACTCTATTTTAGCTATCTTGATTTCTCTTTTAAGATTATCTTTTCTTGCCTTGTACTCCTTCCTTAGATTTTCTACGATCGAGTCATTTCTCTTCTTTTTCCTTGCCTTTTGTAATTTTCTCCTCGCATGGTGACATTCGCTTCTTAGCGTTTGCAGCTCTGGTTTCCACCAGTGTGCTTTTTGTTTGCTTTGTAGCATTACTGGTAGTGATCTTCGCGCCTCGTTTGCTGCGCTTTCAATTATTTCTATATACCTGTCTACGCGGTTGTTCGTCCATTCCTCGTTGGTATTACTATTGATTTTGTTATCGTATATTTCTAAGAATCTCCTGTAGTTAATTATGCCTTTATTGTTTATTTTATCATTACTATTGCTTCTCTTATTATTGCTGTTACCGCTGTCGTTATTGAGTTTGAAATTGTGCACAAGGTATTTGTGGTCCGAGCCTGTGTATCTGTCCAGTATTATGCTACTCTGCATTGTTTTGTATGTCTTGCTGTCTAGTATTATTATGTCAATCATGGAGGTTGACCCCTTTTTTTTCAAAAGTATATTTTAATCCTGTACTTTTGACAGAGATTAGGTTCAGCTTGGCGCATAGATCTAGGATCCTTGTTCCTCTTCGATCCGTCCTAGCCGATCCCCATACCGTTGACTTGGCATTGAGGTCCCCGGCTATTATTACTTTCTTTTCTCTTTTTCTGTTGATTATTTCTTCAATGCCTTCGAGTTTTTCCGTGAAATCGTCAAATTGGATATTTGGGGATATGTAGCAGCTGATCATAACAGTTTGGCCCGTTTCAACTGCCACATATCCGTCTCCTCTTTCACTTAGTTTGATGCTTTTGCTTTTTTCGCTCCCCTTGTCGGTGATCCATATTGCTGCCATGCCTCATTCGTCTTTGAACCAGTTGTCCAATATTCTCTAGGGTTCGCTTATTATCGCGGCATCGATCTCTTCCTCGTCGGCCATTCTTATCATTAGGTCTTGCGCCAATCTGCATCTATTCAGATTTATCTGGAGTACTTTGTAGTTTTGGCTGTTCATTACTTATTTTTGATAGCGTTCGTCTTCTTCCCCTCCATTCTTTTTTGCCTGCTTTCTTTAAAAGCTTTTCTATATTCCGGGCATTTAGTGCTTCCCGTGGCGTGTCCGTCTGTGCTACACAACGCGCACCTGGCTACCACCTGGCTACCTCCCGCGTTGTGCCCTTTGGCGGTGCATTTTCTGCAGGCTCCACTCATGTCCTGTCCCTTGCAGTCTTTGACCCTGTGATTGTATCCCCAGCACCTAAAGCACCTTACGATTTCCTCTCTCTCTATGATGCGGCACTCGCTCCATCCAATGGCTATCCTGCCTCTATTGGTGAGCATATTTGCCTTGTCTTCTGCCAGTATTACAGTGACATTCTGCCTGTCACCGTATGCCGGCCTAAGGGCTTTTATTGCTATTTCCCCTTTGTGCGTTCCCGGTAGCTCTTTGACTATTGCTTCTTTTATGTCTTCTTCCTTCGTGTTTTTGTCCAAGTCTTTTATGTGTAGTACTTTTTTTGGACCTGTTCTGCCGATCGTCGTGGCTCTAACTCCTCCGATTCTCTTGTTGACTGTGGCCTTGAATCTCTCGGCCTCCTTGTCATTGCCCTTTACCGTGATCAGCAGGTCACCCTTCTTCGTACTTCTAACTCCTTTGACTTTGAAGTTATCCTTGTCTCAGTCTATATTTGTTTGCAGCGTCCGTAGGGTGTCCGCATAGCTGCCCCTCCCCCTTTTATTATAATTGTCTCTTCCTCCCTTTGTATCCTTGCCCTGTTCTTTGGCGCTTCTTCTTTCTTTCCATTGTGTTTATTATAGAGCCTGTACTCTATATTTGTCCCTCTAAAGGTGGTTTCTATGATTTTTCTGACTTTGTTAACGTTCGTTTCTTTTTCTATATAGATAGCTATTTTACTTCTCTTATTTTTCCCTATTTCTTCCCTTAGCTTTTCTATTGCGTCGTACATGTGTGTTGTCTGTTGTCTTTGTTGTTGTATTGTGTCTATTCTATTTGTTGTGTCTTCGTTTCCCTCTTCTTTTGCCTTATCTGCATGGGACTTTCCTATTTCCATTTGATATAGGAAACGTTCCCACTTCTCAACCCCTCCTCCTTTATTGGGGATATACAGGGTCCTGTTCAGAAATGCAATCTCGCCTGGTCCGGCTTCTTGCATTCCTAACGCCTCGTATCCTTGGAAGTAGTCAACAATGTCCTTGTTATACTCCCTATCTATGTCCCCTTCAGTTATTATAGCCAGGTCCCATTCTTGACCAGTCCTGTATATTCTGCCGTTTTCTAAACTCGTTCTTTCGAACGCTTTTTCCGGCCATGTGGTGTCTATGATCTTTTCCAAGGATTCTAGGTTCTGGCATTTTTTGATTTCCTCTATCATTCTTTCTTCTTCTAATTCCTCGTCTTCAACCGTTTGTGTTGCACTATCCTTTTTAGGCTCCCTTTCTGCTTTCTCTGCGCATTTAGGGCATAATTGTTCTTTCAGCTTCTCCGCTTGATCCCTCTCCTCTTTGATTCTCTTGGTCCTGTCTTTATTGGCGTACTGTAACCTGTTCACCACCCTGACCAGGTTCATTATGCCTTGTTTTACTTCTAGTGACATATTTTCCGTCTTGTAGAGGCCCTTTAATACCTTGGCTGCCTCTACAACGTTCTTTATTTCGCAGTTGGTCCTCTCCTCTGCGTCCCTGTCTTCTTCTGCGGTCTCTTCGACTCTTTTCCTTTTCCCCGCTTGTTTGGGCGAAAAGTCTTCGCTGTCTATTTCCATGTCAAGCAGGTTAACCACCTTGCTGGAATCAAACTAACATCTGCACCACTGTCGATTAAGAATCGCAACCCTGTTTTCTTATCTCTTACAAATAAACGGTATCTGCGACAATCTTGTGTACTATTTGCAGTAGAATATGTCGCTACTTCTACTGCTGATTCGCTTTTCCCTGGTTGTAATGATTCCACGCGCTAGGAGGTGTGCATTTTTCCGGCATACATTTGTCCCCAAAATTAAAGTGATAGTAACAATACTTCCCTTTTGGGTTGAAACTCCTCCGTTTCCTACTTTTGCTCCGGTCCCCATATCTGCTTCTGTTGCCATCTTTATTCCTGCCGAAATTACGGCTTAGTGAACGTGACTGTCGGTCTATGATCAGCTTTTCTATTTGGTGTTCCATCGCCGACATCCGCTGCAGAACTTCCTCCCAAGGGGGCACATTTCTGCTGGTTGTATAACACTCTGTTCCTGTGCTCATTTCCGCAATTCTGTCCGCCGTTATTGCCAATTTTTCTAGATTTTCGTCAGAAACAAGCAAAATATTTTTAACATTGTCCGCAAGTTTATCCAACCACAGTGTTTTTAATACTTTATCCGAGATATCATCGGTCGCCAGGGATCTCATTTTCTGCAATAATTGACTTGGCTTCGTGTCTCCAAGTTCTATTCCCGTAACTAGTCGTCTTATCCTTTTATTTTCGCTTTCTTTGAATATGCTTAAAAGCCGTTCCTTGGCTGCTGTATATTTGTCGGTTATGTTTCTATCGGAAACGAGATCCCAAATATTTTCAACATATTTTAGTTCCAACTGGGCTACTAAATAATTGAACTTGGTACTTTCCACCGTTATACCCGTGATTTCAAATTGGGCCTCTACCTGGTAGAACCATACCTCCGGTTTTTTCGTCCAAAATGGCGGTAGTTTTATACTCACCTTGTGAGTTTCGTTTGCGGTCGAAGGAGATGGTTTATTCATTTTAATCGGGGTCACCACTATGTAGCGGACCAGGACTCGGGTTCTATTAATGAAAACACCTATTATGCGAGCCCCTTTATTGCGCTTTATTCAAACTTGTTTCTCTAACTTTTCGCACGTGGTCACCTCAGTCGACTAACTAAAGATCTCGTTCTTCTTGCCCGACTTCACGCACTCAGTCATACCAACTCTCACTCATTTCCATTTATCCCTACACTCTTCGTCAGTCGTGCCACACCGGCCAATAAGTTTACTAACCAATATCAGTAAAGTAGGTTCAGCCGTTAGGTCGTTGAATATTTTAATAATTTCAGATGGCCCTAACCAAGTTGAATCAAACTTAGACATTTTTGGTTCTCTAAGTAAGTATACGTAATCACCTGTAGTAAATTTGCGAGGGTTTATATTTTTGTCATAGTTTAATTTGCTTTTCTGTTTTGCCCTTTCCAGATTCTCGGCCGCTGTAGCCTGAGTGGTTGTAATTTTTAAGAACAAGTTATCCAGATACTCAACAAATGTTCTTGGAATTTTCTGATTTGTAAACTCTGATGGAATAACAGCTTTTTCTCCAAATACAAGTTCATGCGGGGTGAACCCAGTTGCTTCGTGTATAGAGGTATTGTAAGAAAATATCCCGAATCTAATCCAGTCATCCCAGTCATTCTGAGTACAATAATGTTTGAGGTAATCTATGAAAACACGGTGAGCTCTTTCAAGTGATCCTAATGATTGAGGGTGGAAAGCAGTGGAAGTGATTCTCTGTATTTTGAAAATTTTGCAGACACAATTCATTATCTTGCTGACAAAATTAGTTCCTTGGTCACCAACTACAGATTCGTGGTGCTCTCGTATAATAGAAGAAGTCCTAGAGAAAGGAGGAAGTATAATTTCGCCTGTACAAACTGTAAAAGTATATTGTGAATTATTGAAGGTTTGTTTCAGAAGGTTTTCAAGAATATTCCACGTAACTGGCTGTAGATTATTATTAATTTTAGATATACTAATTGCTGTTACCTTCAAAGAGTGCATGAGTTGTTTGAGAGAGGCTAACGAAGATATTAAATGATCTATATCTTGTATTTCTGTAGAGTCTGTTTTTGAAAATAAATGGAAAATACGCCAACTTTCATCAGGAAAAACCATAGCATTTCCTACATTAATCTTATAAGGTTGTATCCGAGACATTGAGAATTTCCCATGAGTCAATAAATCCCTATTAGTTTGAGAAACAATGTGATAATCAGTAGAAAGAAAATTCACAAGATTGTCCTTGCGCATATAAAGATGATCTTTACAATAAACAATATTGGGAAAATTAGAAGATAGTGTTCGCGAAGATGAGGGATGTGGTGTAGATGCGTTTGTCGTCGTCAAAATTCTAATCTTATTACAAGAATGTAAATTATTATTATTAGAGATAATTTCTCCGGAGGATTGTGTCCCTTCTCTTACTGACACAACAGCAGCCACGCGCTTACGCCGGGATACAGACAGCTGATCCTGCAACACGCGCTTACGCCGTGAAACAGAGTGTTCAGCCGCTGCAGCTTCACAGGTCACGGGTTTACCAAGCATTACGCGGTTACCCAAATAAAATTCAGAGAGAGCACTATTGTCATTGTCGGTACCCGAAGCGGGGACGTCCGTTACGGACGTCACCGTATCCGTCGGAAAACCCACGACAGCTGAACCGGGGTCTATTACTGACTCTACCGTATCCGTCAGACTGTCGACGTCTCTTGAGAACAATCCTCCTCTCACTACGGTATGATTATTTAAAATATCATTACAATTTTCAAATTTGCCATACGTAAGAAAAGCTTCGGCTATACCTTGTTCATGTTCATCTTCTATAAAATGGTCTGCGTTCGTGTCTTTAACCTCTTTAGAATCTGAAAGTGGGAAATCGTTGACGTCTACGACCACCTCTTGCAGATCCACGGAAGTTAAGACGTCAGTTTTGTCTGTCTTAGTGTGATTTGTAGTGGGAATTGTGATTTCAGCGGAAGAACTCTAATCAGGCTCAGCAGAATTTAAAGGATTTCGGGACAGTGCATCCGCATTGGAATTTATTTTGCCAGGTGTGTACACTATATCGTAATTGTATTCATTCAATTTGACTCGCCATCTCATAAGACGTGATGTGGGATCTTTCACATTGTGAAGCCAGATCAAAGGCCGATGATCGGTGACTAGAGTAAATTGATTCCCATACAAATAAGGTCGAAAATGCTTAACAGCGAAGACGACACCAAGTAGTTCTTTCTCTATGGTAGAATAGTTAATTTCGGCACCGGAAAGTGCTCGGGAGGCATATGCTACAGGAAGATCTTTTCCAATCGGACCTTGGCTTAATACCGCTTCAACGGCATAATTCGATGCGTCAGTTGTAACGACAAAGGGTTGTTGAAAATTTGGGAATTGTAAGACAGGTTCAGAGCAAATGATATTCCGTAATTTTTCGAAAGCAATTTGTGCGTCGTGATTCCAGAGAAAAGAGATATCTGCTTTTAAGAGTCGAGTTAGCTGCTTAGCGATCTTAGCCATTTGAGGGATGAATCGACGATAATATCCGACAAGACCCAGAAATTGTTTAACATTTCTCTTGGTTTTGGGAATAGGAAAATATCTTACCGCCTTGACTTTAGTGGGGTCTGGTTTTACTCCTTCTGTAGAAATAACGTGACCTAAATACGAGATTTCACGTCGCAGAAATTTACATTTTTTAGGTTGTAATGTTAGTTTTAGAAATTGTAGCACCTTGAATAAATGGTTTTGAAGAATCAGCCAATTCTGCATTTAAATTACTGGCGATATTAATAGCGGATTCGAGGTCCGATAAATTTTTATTATCCTTTTCTCTGTTCAAATGAAACTGTATGGTGTTATTATGAAGGCCTTTGATGAAACTAATCATAGCAGTATTTTTTAGCAAGTCATACACACCTATTAATTGTTCAGAATTATACACGTCTTTTGCAGTCTTCGGTCCGCTACTTAATATTTCGTTTATCCTAGCTCCAAATATCTCTACTGGTTCATTAGTATCCTGATGTAAGTGCATAAGTTCGGCATTCATACTATGTACATATTTCAGGCTCTGCACGATTAGACAACACCAATTTGGCATGCCCTTCAATTCTACCTCGAATTAGGAACAACAAGTTCTCACGATCCTCTGGCTTTACTTTCGAATTTATCAACTTGCATTGTTTGATGAAATAAATTAAGGACCCGGATTTTTCGTCAAATTTGGGAATGGAATCTTTTACTAACTTCAAGGAGAGATAGGATTTAGGAAAACTATTTATTGATGAATTAAACGAGTTTGCTGGTATGGCTTCTGTTGAACGAGATTGATTACTCAATTCCGGTAAAGTTTCGACAGAAGACTCTGTTTGTATTGGTGTTGAACTCATTTCCTGAAATTGTGATTCGTTTCCTCGAGGTTCAGAATTAACAACAGCGGTCGTGACTGGACAAGGCAATGTATTACATATTTCAAGTAAATCATCCGGCGTACTTATTGGTGTAGGTAAGAAACTTGATTTTTGCGGCGATGTGTTAACATGAGATTCTATTTGTGTTTGTTCAACAACTATATCTTCAACCTCGAAAGCTTGTAACTTAGTCGAACAAGATCGCAGTCTACGCTTACGTTTTGACAAATTAATTTCATCGAGTAGATGTAACTTAGTCGAACAAGATCGCAATCTACGCTTACGTTTTGACAAATTCTTAATATTACGTAACATTTTGCAATACAGTATTTCAACTAAACTGTTTCAATCGAAAATAAAACTGCAAAATTGAACGAGTAAACAATAACGAATATTTTTACGTATCTACCGAGTAGATGAAGACTTGATGTAGAAGTTGTAGTCTGGATCACCTTTTAAGACCTCGATGAAGGAAAATCTGGTTGAGTGCATGTGAATTCAGGGAAGTAGCTGCACGGCCACCTGAAGACACCCTCCTCTGGTATTCACCCGTGTTCCAAGGAAAACCGTGCCAAAACCCGAGGAAAGAGAGGCTGCACAAATTCGTCGATGACTCCTTAGATTTCGTGTTCACGAGCCAGCAAAACAGCTTCCAAGATGGTCAATTCTTCAACAATTTCTCCCACGATTTTGAAAGGGATCTCACCGCTGTCACCAATTTTGTTGCGTGGGCCCTCAGGGAATCCTGAGTCTCAAAGTAATTAAAGTTTGAAACACGTTAGTTTTATAGATAATTTTGAATAAAAAGGAAATTATAACGATAATAATAAAGAACAATAAAGATTTAAATTAAAACTTTGAAAACTATATTTAAACTATTTAAATAAACGATTTTTAACTAATTTTAAAGGAAAACAAATTTAATTGATAAAGTAATTTTTATACGTCCTTTCTATTACAACGTTGTCGGTGGAATGGAATGTCTTTTCATTTCCCTTCGTATATCATTTTGTTTAATTACAAAATGTCCTTAGTTACTACTGACCAATCTTATAATTATTAATTTCTAAGATTTAACCTGATTCGTTGATGCGTTTCTTCCCGGTTATTGATAACGAGCGATTTACGTATTTGCAATGATTCTGAGCGTTAGGATAGGAGGCGAAGGCAACTGGCAAATGTTTAAACATTCGTTTCTAAGTGAATATTGATTATTTTATAATCTTGAAATGCATTTATTAAAAGGATCTCTAACAGATTTCACACTTCTTCAAATCAGTGTCAACTTCACCTTTACCCTCATTTCCTATTACATGTGTTATTCGATTCAAACTTCGCGCCTGTGAAGCTTATGACATACACCGCTACGTGACATGAGCGGGGACCGCAACAAAACCATCATCAACGATGCCATAAATAGTCACTGCTCCGAAAAAAATATCATCCCAGAAACTCAGTTTGGATTTAGATTTCACCATTCTACTGTGCATGCTATAACAAAATTCACTTCGGACATCTGTTGGGTTAGAAAAGCCGGTGACTGCGTTGGCGAGTGCTTCATAGATCTGGAAAAGGCATTTGATACCGTATGGCTAGATGAATTGTTTTTCAAGCTACTGAAGAAAGATTTCCCCAAGCATTTAATTAAAATTCTTTGGGATATGCTCCATGAGAAGCGCTTTTTTGTCACGGAAGGTAATAGTAAATCCACTAGAGACTTTTTAATTGCAAATGGATTGCAACAAGGTACAGTAAATTCCCCTATCCTGTTCAACATCTACATCAGCGACTTGCTCCAAATGTATGGCCTGAACAATACAGACGAAAAAACCAACAAATCTGCAATAGCTTTCGCCGACGATCTACTAATTTACATAAAAAACAGCAAACCATCGATCATAAAAACACAATCACAGGATTTATTTGAAAAAGGACGGGACTATTTCCAAACCTGGAAATTAAAAATTAACACACAAAAGTGTGAAACAATATTGTTCAGGCCATACATTTCGAACATTTCGGATGCGAATAATAACGTTACTCGAAAAAATTCTCTTTACACGCAGCACACGATATAAATGAAAAAATCCCTCATAAAGATACGGTAAGATACCTCGGCGTATTCCTCGATTTCAAGTTAAACCACAATATTCATGTCAACATACAAATTCAAAAAGCCAGCAGAGCATTTATAGCAAATAGAAGTCTATTTCACTCAAAAGAATTACACAAATCCGTAAAGATCATCTGCTATAAAACTCTAATAAGACCAATTCTAACGTACGGCTGTCAAATATGGTTCAATATTTTCGCCGGTACAATGGAAAAACTACGAGTTTTCGAAAGAAAATGCATTAGGGCCTGTCTGGGCAAGTATAGATCGCCAGAGTCGAACTATACTAAACTGATCAGTAATTATAAGTTATATGAAGAGGCTATGCTGGTTCGTATTGACTTTTTCATGGTAAAACTAATCAGGGATCATTGGTCCAAGGTACGGAATATCTCATCTAACTCTCTCATAGCACACTCACTATACCCGAATCCATTATATTTCAATTACACCAGACAAACAGGCTACACTCCTCCGGAATCCTTTGTCTATCTAGACGGCGAAGGGTATATTCAAAATAGCGACAATATACCGTTAATTTACCACTACAACCGAAGAACAATTGACAAAAAAAACCCATACGAAAAAAATTTACAAGCGGACGACATTAATTTAAGATTTATGTATAGATTATCAGCGATAGATTTAAGTGACGAGACCAGGAAAAATACTCACAAGTACTGGTGGCTTTAACATATAATTAGGTAACTCTCGTAGATTAAGATTTGACACAGCTACAGTTTCATCGCCAAATTTGTATATATCTAGATATTAATTAAACTTTAAGTTTAGCTTTAAAAATGTAGGCTCATTGCGCTAAATAATAAGACACCAAAGAAAATAGTACGCAAGAATGTGTACCTGAAATCAGTGATGCCAGAATCGTGGTACTGTTTACCCCCACCACTCTCCCACTCCGACATACCATCGTCTCCCACTATGACGTCCCGGCTACCCCCACTTTACGTCCACCGTGCTGGCACTCCAAGCATAGCCAAGCCCTGTCCGTGTTGCGTTGGCCGTTCGAGAGACGGTGAGCTATATTGAGAAAAGAGTGGGGGTAAACCGTAGTAGTAGTAGTAGTAGTACAGTTCTCCCGGGAAAGGGGAAGTGCGATTTCCCCCCCAAGGCCCAGCTGTGGCTCAAATCGCCGGTAGCTCTCAAACAGCCCCCGCCACGTTAGCAGGGGGGCTGCCGTGGGCA